AGTGTTTTTATCGAGTTGCAGCTTGAGCGCGAGTGCACAGTAACACTTTATATGGGTTGGCTCGATTGTAAATATAATACAGAAGAAAAATGTGCCACATAGTGGATATGCTGATATCATTGCAAGAGTAGTGTTTGCGAGACGCATGGGCGATTAAGTCATTTGTTCCCCACCCCAAAGAGCAATGAAATCAACCGTGACTGTTCCACACTGCAAAACCAGCCGAGTCAAAGTTGAGAACTGCACAGTATTTTTTCCACTAGTGGTGCCCAGGAGCTGGAGAATTACAGTATGACCACTAGGTGGCACAATATGACACAGAAAAGAGTTGGGGGTTTTCTGGTGTTGCAATAGTTTTGTAATCATATTGTTTACAAACATGAAACAACAGGTGTCATTATAACAAAAAATGACTAAATTGTAGTAATGTCAATAATTTAGTTTCAAAGGCTGGTTTTTACTGGAGTGATTCTTACCTGGTGCTGAAGTGATGATTCGTAGCAGTAGAGAACACTGGTGTCGTACAGGAGGACTTTGTGCGCAGCCAAAGCCAGCAGGCAGTTTCTCAACCGTGAAATGACCTCTCGATCCGACAGGCTGACAGGCTGAGGAACCAGAGATGAGAGATGCACAAACAAATAAGCTCTGTGTGTACGGTGTAAACCACAAGCATCCGGAGCATCATTACATACTCTTGCAAGTCTTCAACTTGCAAACATTTTTTTTTAAACGTCTTTCTAATGCTCCTTCAGACTGAAGCTGCCTTCAGCCCGTGTTGCTGAAGGTGCTTTTTTACCAAGCCGAGTGTGGCACACGAAGGTGATTGACTCAAACAGTCAAGGATGCCCCAACTTGATGGAATAGTTGGTTGCTCTGGCCTTGCCTTTAGGTTGAATGATGAAAGTTTGTGCATTTGGTTGAAGCTAAGCACACAAAACACTACTTGTGTGAGCAGTAAAAATCATTAATGGATGGCAGCGTTCCCGTTCCATTGACAGCCATGCATGCCCGAGCCTCTTTCCAAGTTTTAGTTCATCAGTCCATAAAAATTTGTTCCAGAACTCTCACTGATTTTGCAAACTACAACCAGGCCTTTCCATTTAGAAAAAAATAAAACTGTTCCTTGTGCTGAATGCTTAGGTTCTCTACATGTTTTCTCTACTTAGTTTTTCAGTGCACACCTTTATTTTAAATTACATTTTTAAATTTACTACCTTTTGATATATAATATACAATATATTAACTATATTTTGATACATTTTTGCTTTTCTGTCTCTTGTTACTTTCTTTATAAGCACGGCTGTGTGTTGAATCCTCCTACTGATAGACAAGAACAGCTCAATACTCTCAGTGAACTTTTAGCAGCCAAGCTGAAAACTACTATTGCGATTTGTGTGCAGAGAAAACTGACACATAGTTCTTTCAATCTTGATGTAAATGTACTTAAATCAATACTCAAACATTAAATTAGTATCCATTACTTTTCCAAACTTGGGAAAGCAGAAGGAAAAATGTGGGCAACCACCAGTGCTACCCCTCAGCTTCTGAGTAGACAAACCTTTCAGAGAACTTGACCTTTGACCTTGAGGTCAATTCCACTGAGATTTGAAGTCAACCAACATTTTTAGTAAATGCACCGATTGTATCAATTTGAAATTCCTACATTTCCTAAAACAACAAGAAATTGTTTTCCAAATTCATATGCCCATTGATCAGTAATAAAAATATGGAATACAGTTTTTTGTGGTGTCCTACCTCAAGGCTGGTGTAGAAACCCCCAGCTTCCTCCTCTTGTTGGCCCGGTGTGGGATACAACCACACAAAGCCATTATTCCCCAGGATAATGGATGCGCCACATGGCAGGTTGTGGAAATGAGTTTTCTGCCTCTTGATCAGAGAAGGGGAAAGCTGGACCAGTACTCCTTGACCCAACTGATAGTCAGAGGAAGTAGAGACAGGGTGTTAGTTTAAATGAAAATAAAAATAACGATCGTTACTCTTATTATTGAGCTAACACAGTTACTCCAGTTTTAGCTTGACTTCACTGGCATCCTGTCAGTTTTAGGGTTAATTTGAATATTTTATTGATTGTTTTTAGGATACTGAATAGGTTGGCCTGCCCCCCCCGTATTTGTCTGGTCTTATTAATGTCCACACTCCTGTCAGAGCTCTGAGGTCTGCTAATCAAAAAAAAAAAAAAAAAAAAAAAAAAAAATAGGGGTCATTGAGCTTTTCAGTTGTTGCCCTGAGTCTCTTGAATGTGTTTCTATTTCATAATAGATCTGCCATAATAGATCTTTTTACTTTTCTTTGCTCAGTTTCTACTTTCCGGCCTTTAAAAAACCCTGACATCTTACTTGTGAAGTACTTTGATCAACTCTGGTCATTTGTAATGTGCTATATAAATAAACTTGCCCTTTACCTTTTCACATATCTTTGTGTACACTGGAATAACTTACTTTTCCATACTTTAAACTACGGGTGTGAAGTGAAAGAGCTCCATCCGAGAAGACAGACTGCACCTCTGCCTGAAACCACAAGAAAGGTTCAACACAGATTATGTAACCGGGAATAAAATCACTGGAAAGCCAGTGAGAAATTATAATAGAGAAGTCTGACTTACACTGATGAGATCTCCCTCCTGAAGATATTCTCTCATGGTCAGCTCATCTTCTGCTGATCTTCTCCTCTAAGTAAGTAAGTAAGTAAGTAAGTAGGTAGGAAAGAAAGAAAGACAGAAAGAAAGAAAGAAAGAAAGAAAGATGATCAAATATTAATTTTAATACGTCAGCCAAAGCTGTCTTCTCCCAGTGAATCACACTTTCTACCATCTCACCAACTCTCCTCCTGGCAGGTTTACAGAAGACAACAAGAGGACAGAGTCCAGTCGGGAGTTTGTCTCCACCTTCCATCTTTTCTGCTGCACCTATACATTTTAAAGAAGAAGAAGAAAATTTAAAAAACCCCAAAATGAACCAAAATGAAAACAAGTTTCTGCAATCACTGTCTTTTCTTATAACTAAAGTGGTTGTATATGAGAACAAATACTAGGCATTACCTCTGTAATTCTGCCAACCACAACATCTCCAACCTCACCATTAAACCTGCAATCAAAGCACACTTTACAATGTAAGAATGAGTATGTAGATGACAGGCCTATCTAAGTCTTTGACCGTTTAAGAGTTCAATCACTCACCTGGTCTTAAGTGGCCTGACACAGATGAGTTTGTCCACCCTCTGCACCTCTCCTGCGACTGAAGCTGTCAACTTGTCGTCATCAACGTAGGTGCCATGACCCCTGCGGACAGACGGTATCAAACATTAGTTCTGAAGAGAACAGCCAAAAAAAAGAAAGAAAAAGAAACAAGGGTAAAGTGCAGCATTCAGAGGTCACACAACACAATGCGGCAGTTTATCCGATTAGAGTCCTTATCCTTACTTACTGTGTATCAGTGTAGAAGGTTGCAAATGAGACCGGCTGACTTTATGCTCACCTGCTAATTCAGTATGGCACTGGCTGTCATCTGGAGCTTTTATTTATTTACCTTTACAAGCCAGATACCTGAAACAGACCCGAACAGCAGCACACTCCTGTGTTTGGTTGATTTCCCATAATAACTCAAATAAAACCAACACCTACCTCATGAACCCAGTGTCTGAAGTAATAACATCCCCCGGTACGACCAGATCTTTTCGGTCAAAAGCAGACGCTGATAGCGACACGGTTTTTCTAATGGTCGGTAATCTCATATCTGCAGCCATGCTTCTTCCTTTGCTTCTTCTTCTCTTCACTTTTTTGGCGGTTTGCGGAACTGATAAGAGTTTTACCGCCACCTACTGACGCGTTAGTTGTATTTATTTACTTTTAAAAAGCACCTAGTCTAATAAAATGTAAATAAATAAATAAATAAAGTTTAAAAAAAATTAAATACATGTCTTATATCTGTGGCGTTAGTGATATATATATATAAACAGTAAATGTTTATGGGGAGGAAAACTCACAAACACTGCTTCTTTTCCTTCTTTAGCCGCTGACAACTTCTAGCTGCTTCCCTGCATCTCTCTAGCATCCTCCTCTATCACAACAACTGCACATCCTCCTTTACTACATGAATGAATCTTCTCTGTGGTCTTCCTGTTTTCCTCCTGCCTGGCAGCTCCATCCTTTGTCCCGTATATCTGCTATCCTTCGCTCCAAACCATCTCAGCCTTGCCTCTCTTGACTTATTTTTCAAACCACTCAGCCTGAGCTATTTCTCTGATATACTCATTTCTAATCTTGGTGGACTCCCAGTGGTAATCTCATTATCTTCAGCTCTGCCACCTCCAGATCAGTCTCCCGTCTTTATGTTGACACTGTGATCTCCAAACCATACAACACAGTAGGTCATATATCCATCTTGTAAACCTACCCTTTCTCTGGCTCCACAAAGACCCAGTGCAACTCCTCCTGACCTTCTCTCTACTTGTCCATCAACACTCACTGAGTGCTTCAGCATAGTCCTGTTCCACAAACTTTATTTTATTTTATTATTATGGGAAGAATGATACACTAACATGATTAAAATTCCATGTTATTTCAATAATACTTTTATTCTGCTAAATAGCGCGCCATTTCATGGATGGATTTATGAGCTGGATATAAGAGATAAAACTGATGCACAGGCTCTAAATAATTAGGTTAAAAGCTTGTGTTGATATATGTTGATTTAAAAAGAACATAGCAAATCTAATGTGGATTATGGTTGCAGGATTCAGTGCAATGGTTGCAAATAATAATAATGAAAAGAAGAATTAAAAGTAGAAGAAAAATAATGTATTACAATTAAAAGATGTCAGATAGACTGCAGTTAAGTCACACCCCTATGAAATTGTTTTTCCCAGGCATTTCCATTTTCACCACCAGGTGGCAGCATCGAGCCAAGCTGCCGACACCGCCACCTGGATTCGCACAACGGAGCGGTGACGTCAGATGTCAACAGGACGCAAACTTCCACTGTTGCAGCCAATCAGCTTTTGGTCAGACAGACTCTTGGAAAGATGGCGACGGTGAGGCACAGAGGAGTGAAAACTGGACGCTTTGCTGTTACTAAACACCGCACATCCACACTTCGCTAGAACCCACACGGCACCGGGTGTGGAAGTTAATCGGTCCGCTCTTGAGTCTGAACCCGCCGTTTGGGGCCGTATGGTGACGCTGCGGGTTTGCGCGCTGTTGTTTTCGGTTACACTTGGACTTCTCATTAGCTTTAAGTTGAAAAGCCAGCGCTAGCCCGGGCTAGCTGTGTAGCCTCACTCGGCTGTTTGGAAGGTGTATGGTACCCTTAACCGGTGTCAACACTGGCTTGTATATACCTTATAATTTTTTTTGTATTTCCGGAGCCGCTCATGAGTCACCTGGATTAAATATTGCACTTAAGGAGGAACAGGGGGCCACAAACTATTTGGCACTGCTGCGCCGAGGCGGAGTGAGTTTGCCGTCATGTATTTTCTAACCGGCTGGCCACGGAGGCTGCTTTGTCCGCTGAGGAGCGAAGAGGAGCCCTTCTACATCCAGCCCAGCTCCCAGCGCTTTTACTTCGCTCTGCTGTCAGAGACGCAGCTCAGCGTTTGGTTTAGTCGGGTGAGTTGAAACTCTGATCGGTCTTGAAATCAGCTGACAAAACAAAAACAAAAAAACGCTAGCTAAGATGTGATCTGGTGCCGTTTTCATTTCAAACGCATTGCAGCAGAGGGTGATAACCTGGCCGGCTGCCCTTCATGTTTTATTAAGTACCGTAAATAAATACGGGGAGAAACTGTGGTGTCCCCATATGAGTAACTCAAACTACTACGTCTTCTTTCTTTTTTTAACCTTGATGTGTTGGCAGAGGGTTCCACGTACACAGATATCAGACGGCAGGTGAACTCGTTACACATCATTACACGTGGATGTGTCATTCATTACTTAAGTTAAAACAATAATTTGACAGCAAAACTCAACCACAGTGGATTGGTGTTCACCTGATAGACGCTTTATAGCAGTTCAGTTTAAAGTTGCCCAAATGTTAGTAAATTGTATACTTTGGTAGGTGGACTGGTACTTATATAGTGCCTTTCTGCTCAGTTGAGCATTCAAAACACTTTCTTACTATAAGTGTTACACACATTCATACAGATGCCTACATAGCGGGGGTCAGTACCTTTGGAGGAGTCAGGGAGCAGTCCACTACCTTTAGATTGGTAGACCACCTACGCTACCACCTAAGCCAAGTACAGCTATCTCCGCTCTACTCATCAGTTTTACCCAGCAACATACAGGTCAAAGGTTAAGTTACTGTCAACAAAACATTTGTAATAGTGTTCAAAACATGCCATGACACGTTTTGCTTACCAGTAGTTTTCAGGAATTTAGGCAGCGCAGTTACAAAATAAATGTCAACACTTATCTCAGCACAATAATCTCGCTGTTTATTTTGTATGTCATGGCCACAAATGCGTCACATGACAGGAACATTTCACAGTGACTTAAACCAATCAGTCAATGTTAATTCTGTCTATTTATAAACTTATTGGTGCGGTCCAATAAGTTTATAAAAGTGCCAACATGCTGTGCTGCAGCTGGTTTCTTAACAAAACACCAAACTCTGAGCACTGCAACATCTAAAACATCTGGCTTAATTGACTCCTGAACCTGCTGGTATAGAGCCAAGGGAGCAGTGACTTTGAGGTGCGTGGTAACAACATAAACAGGGCTGAACAGATAGTGATGCCAGTGATGTGACATTCAAAATGGAACTTGGAAGGACAGACTGTAGAAATTAGTGGTAGGTCAGTAGCTTGTCAAACACATGAATGCTTTATTGGCAATCTCTTCTTCCCAAGAAATGCAAATAAAAACATCAAGGACTTTCTTGATAAGTTGTTGAAACAAGGGTTAATTGAAGAAGTCTAACAGCATAAGAAAAAATACGTATATTTCAATATATATTTTGAGTCACTGCATGTGGGATTCAGGTGATGTTTGACATGGTGGCAGCTTCATCATATTAATTCCTGTTTTTCACACTTTTTTTTTTTTTTAAATCTAAAATTTAAAAAAATGCAGAGAGTAGATGTGGTTTCTCTTTCACTGTTTCCAGGGAACTTCTCTACCCACTAAGCTCAGCTTTCAATACCATAGAAATGCGGAATGGGTCATGAATTGTTTGGTGTGCCTCCATTTTAGTACTTCTTCAGTATCTTTATCAACATCATACAGAGTATTTTGAATTCTTCTCTGTTGGCCTTGTTTATTTGGACGTTTTTGCCATGGTGACATGGAAAGGGAGCATATAATTGATTTTTATAACCTGCTCTTGTGTACATTGTTTATAACGGTCTGTGATACATGCACACAGTCTGAATATTATTGAGTTGTGGCAACAATGGATCAGGGTTACAGTTAATTTCCAGAGACCTGCACAGGATGCAACCTTGTTTTGTTTCCCCTCTTTCTTAAGAGTTCTGAGTGCCTGCAAGTATCCGTGGGGCATCCAGGAAAAGGAATGTCGATTGGAGGAACTTCTTCCTCTTGACATGTGCTGGTCACCCCTACTAAGTCCATTGTGTCCTTCAACTTTTCTGTATAGCTTAGGGGTTATCAGATGGCTAACATTAGGCTACTGCAGGGCTACCAGAGGAAGAAATCATTTTGATTTTTAAACAAAATAAGGAAACAAAAGTTCACAAACTTTTATTTCCATACAATTTAACTTGGATCTTTTTTTTGGTATTTTTAATGTTGTCAATATTGTGATTAGCAATGAGCAAGTTAGGGGTTTTTCCCAAGGAGAAGTCAGCATTTTCATAGAATCATTATTCTACCAAATAAATGGCACCAAAAATTTGGCTTAGTAGTTTTCAGTCTTGCCAGGTGACTGACAGAAAGTACCAAAAGTAAAGACTAACCTCACTGTGATGGTTTCCTTTCAAATCCAGTGTGTTGATGTAGAAAGACAAAAGTAAGCTATTGAGCTTCCAACATGTCAGTGTGCTACTTCTATTTAAGTAAGTTTTGCTTTTCCTAATGAGGAGATAGGTTTCTGTTTCCATCAGGTTCAGGTATCATTGGCATTATTAAATTTTAATTCTACGAAAGCGACACAATAGGTTAGGAATGGTTAAGCCCGTTGTCTCATTACAGTGAGTAGATACCAGCATTAAAGTTGCACAGCAGAATTACATTACTGCTTTACCTCACCATAGCCAGTGTCCTGTTTTTACTGTAATAATGATCCTTGTTATATCTCACTGAAAACTGATTCAACAGCCTTACTTTAACACTCTGGGACGCCATACATACTTTTAAAATGTTTTCAATGATTGTGGTGTTAATTGTGCAAGTGGAAGGACAGGATTAACTGAATCAAGAGAGGTCACCAGAGTGAAGCCCACACATGAAAAAGCTCGATTACCACTTCAATTGGCAGTAAAATCAATTGGCAGTCATACTTTTGTAGCAAGTCTCAAGCGTCCATTATTGGTGATGCTCTGTACTGTTATTGTTGAATGTTGAATTATACTGTGCCAGATGCTTGATCTTAAGAAACCAAATCTTTTCACATTTTTTTTCCTCTTCAGCAGCTGTTTTAAAACTTGAAAATTTATTGGTTGGACATACAGGTTTTCTTTTTGAAGCTGTAGGCTAGTTCTTATTTTGCTGTAGAGAGAATAAGGTGAGGTAAACTAAGGGTGGTAGCCTCAAGCATACAGTTGTGGTTATAAGTATACATGCAGATATCAGGCATGAATGTCATGCTAACTTTGGGCTTGCAGTGATTTCTCGGAACTGTTTTTTTTTTTTTTTGTTTTGTTTTTTGTTCTTCTCCCCCCCCCCTCCCCCGGGGTGATTGTGCAGCATACATCTTTTAAAACACGAGAATTACATGCAGAACTTTGAAGTCATTTTGGATTTTCTTTAAATCACACAGGGTTAAAGGTTTACTTACTGGCTCAAATATGTAAGTACATCCCCATTATGTTTGGTTAAACATTCCTTAGCAAGTTGGACTTGGACCAGCTGGATCTTTCTGGCTGGATATTTGACCACTCTTCTTGGCAGAATTTGCTAGAATTAATTTAATTTGATCATTTTCCAGGTACAAACCATGGCTTTTAATCATAGTTCACAAATTGTTTATAAGGTCGACGTTAAGGCTTTGGTAAGACCATTCCAAAAGTTTAATATTAGCCTTTTTTTATCTGTTCCAAAACCAATTTTGATGTGTGTTTGGGATCATTGTCTTCCTGGAACAATGGAACATCCAACTGTGTCCAAAGTTCGACCGTCTAACTCTTGAGTTAAAGTGAAGTTGAAGAATTTGGAGGTAGTCCTCCTTTGTTATTCCATCCACTTTGTGCAATCTGCCAAGGGCAGCAAAACAGCCCAAGAGCGTGATGCTACCACCACCATCTTTGATAGTTGGTACAGTGTCCTCAGGTTTGAAAGCTTCACCTTTACTCCTCCAACCATAACTGTTGTCATTGCAACCAAATAATTGTGTCTCATCTGAACATAAAACTTTCTTCAGAAGGCGTTTGGCTCCTGAAGGCAAATTTAAGTAGAGTTTGAAGGTGTTGATTTTGGATCAAGGGCTTCTTTCTTGGTCGTCCACATTGATGTAATCCTGCTTCACTATGGACAGTGATGCTGGTGTTCCAGCATTTTTCAGGTCATTGGGGTTAAACTGTCCCTTTGGAAAAGTGGTGACACATTCAAGTAACTTGGATTTGTGTACATTTTTTTTGAAAGATGTATTTGTTTAGCAATGGCTCCTTGTGTCAACTTGTGTAAATGTTAGGTCATCACTGAGTTCCTTGGAATTCCCCATTGTTCTGAGTATTGGTCAGTCCAATGAGTGCTATCAAACAAATCATTTTTATGCTGCCAAAGAAGAACCACCAGTTGTACTCATGATCACTAAAAGAATTTAATAGGCCTTGGTCTTGCCAATTTAAAAGATATTGTAGAGCCTTGTGCACCCAGTTCTTGTTTTTTAAAGTCATTATAGATGTATGCTGTACAGTAGGGCTGCCACAAACGATTATTTTGATAGTCGACTAGTCACAAATTATTTATGCGATTAGTCGACTAATCAGATCATCATCCACTGGACGTAAAACTACAGCTTATTGCACCAGCAGCATCTGCTCTTATATAACTATCATTAGCTTACAGCTTTAAGCTTTTAAGGTGCTAACTAAAAATAAAGACAAGATGATAGTTTATTCAATTTTAATGAAATTTGCAGATTGTTTCGGTAGAAGTTTAATAAACTCCTTGCTATCTAAAATATAACAGGACACCGGAGTATATTCTCCAGCATCTCACACTTCTGATAATCAGCTGTCTGCTTGACGTTTATTCAGCTGTGTAAAAACTATAACTTTAATCTCAGCCAAACCGATTTACTCAGGAACAAATAAAATACTAAAAAAAAAAAAGCCAAACAACAACATTTTTAATTTATCTAAGTGACTCATATATATTTAACCTGAGTCAGCGAAAGACGGCGGTGGGTTTGAAAACAATTTGCCGGGAGTCCGGTGTTCTCACGGCGCTAGTGACCTAGCCCCCGGCTAGCTATCGAGCTAGTGGGTAACAGACGTCTCCGAAAACGTCGGAGCGCTTTTGAAAATATGTGGTGTCCTGATAAACTGAGCCGATATTTGAGGTTTACACAGCTACATTCTCGCCTGAAAATATGTTAAACGTTTATTTTGTGACCCAGAAAGAATAATAAGAGTAATATTAAAACTAACTAGCTGCCGCCATTGTTGGAAACTAAGCTGGGCCGCGCTATGAATTCTGGGACACAGCTGCTTCTTCTTCTTCGGGGTTTAACGGCAGCTGGCATCCTTGTACATGCAGTGCTGCCATCTTCTGTTTCAGTCCGTTATTACACTCTTAAATCCTGCTACTTATTCCTGCGTCTTTTGCGATCTTACAAAGCTTCAAACGACGTCGACTATTAAATCAGTCGTCGACGATTTTGATAGTCGACGTAATCGTGACTAGTCGACAAATCGTGGCAGCCCTACTGTACAGTCATTCAGTCCTGGAAAAAGAACAGTTCATGAAAGTCATGAAAACCCACATAATTGCCATGACATCTATGCCCATGATGGCTGTATGAGAACTTCGCAACACACCTGTAGTTTATCCATTTTGCGTGATAGAAAGAGAAGCCTCAACATGCTTTTGTTTTCTCAGTAAAAATAGATTTTTCACAGTCCATTGGCCTCACTAGGTAGGAGATTTTTGGCATCACTGAGGTATTATAGTCATCCCATTTTTGGAAAAGAATTTGAAATCAAATCTGTATTTCTTCTTTGCCAAATACCAACCATTTGAGGCAATAAATCATTCCCGACAAATCCCCTTCCAGCACATTGGCTGACAAATATCTTTATAGATTATCTCTGTCAATCACAACCAACACTAGAAATAAAGCTGCTGTCATAATATCACACTGACATTGTTTACTGGGCTGCTGCCTGGGATTTATTTCATTTTTATTTTTTCGTAGATAGATGAGTTACTAGCTGTCACACAGCATGTTTTTTTTTTAAGCATTTTTAAAAATATTTCTATATTAATTACTTGATACAAGAGGTATGCTGTTTTCTTTTGTAGCTCCAGTGTTATTTGTTTAATATCAAATCAGATGATTTTGACCTCCAGAGCTCACTTTCTTTCCCATATTTCTGTTTCCCACCCACAGCCCAGTGTTTTGATAGTCAGCTATATCGAGTCTGCAAAGGCAGCGGCTCAGTTTGGCTTCTACCAGAAAGCAGAATGGAAACCAGACGACTCAATGATAGCTGTGGCGGTAAGTACACCATTTGGCAATGTCATATCATATTTGCAGTTTGACTGATCAGCTTACGTTCTCCCCCAAGCTCTGTTACTGCAAAACACTAAAGTTGATACCAATTGCAGAAATGTAGTTTTGACTGAGTTTCCCTGGGACAAATTGTGTCGCATATTAGAGTAAACATCAACACATATTTTTGAGATATTTTTTTTTCTTTTCAAGTGCTATCAAACAATCATATATCACAATTATGTCCTGGTTAAGCAGCCTTTTCTGGCATACACAAACATATGTCTTTGAGGGCTGACTGCTCACATAAGCACGATTGGTTTGCATGCAGTTAAGGTAAAGAGTCTGTGCTGCCTTCTTACAAGATTAGGTGTGAGTAAATTAAACCCAACCTTAAGAAACAAGTTAAAAGTCAGAATTGGTTGCAAGATCAAAACTTCTTCAGTGTGCAGAAAAAACCCCAGTTAAAAAAGGTCAAAAGCAAATTCATGTTGTGTAAGACAGCGGTCCCCAACCCTCTGGGCCACAGCCCGTGAGTCATTTGCTACCGGGCCGTGAGAGTTGAGCCTTGGGTGTGGAATTTAAGGTTTTCAGGAATTTAAGGTTTTTATCGTTATTTTTTTTTTTTGTCGTTTTTATTGTTAACTCTGTTTCCCTGGGTCTTTTCCCGTGTGTTATGAATAAACCTTCTTTTTTTTCTTTTTTTTGGTACCAGTCTTGGTTTTATTTTGTTGTATTTGTCCATGACACCTTAAAGGCCGGTCCGTGAAAACATTGTCAGACAAAACTAGTGCATGGCGCAAAAAAGGTTGGGGACCGCTGGTGTTAGATATAACATGTTGCACCCAGGAGTGGGTGATACAGCTTCAGAAGTATATCACAATATTTAAAGGAAATGTGCAATACATTTTTTTGACTACATAGAAAAATTTTTTGTGAACAGTGGTTTTTTTTTTGTTTGTTTTTGTTTTGGATGCCCACAAGTAGCAGCATTTATGAGTGTAAATAAATGGGTGTTTTCCATCCTCCTTTTGCACTGAGCCACTTCCTACTTTGAAGAGCGAGTCGATTGAAAAAGGTGCCACCAGCAGCAGCAGGAGCGTTATGGTGCTCTAGTTGTGACACAACGTAAGTCAAAAGTTGACACAAACGTAGCCTCGTTATCTTTCCTTGAAATTTAAGGAAAAGTATAACCTGACTGCGTAACATCTTAGTTTAAAAATAACTAATGCTGAAATGTATCTTCCTTCCTCTATTGGTTTGTCTTCGATCGAGTTTTATAACTAGCTCCTTAAAGCCCTGCTTTTCCACTACGTAACCAAATCAATAATTTCCATCCACTGTTTGCTCTTCATGTCATGGTGGGGGGATCATTTGGGTACTTTTTGGTTGCACGTCACCAGCTGCTAGCATCTCGTCATTTACAGCCTGATTGTGCTCAACTGTATGTTTTTTTGCCTCAAGTGATGAAACACATTAGTTGTTTCCATCTTTAGTGGGAGCAGTGCTTTGTTGGAGGTTATTGAAGTAGCTCCCTTTTTAGGTTACTAAAGTGTCATCAGAGGCTGACACACGGCTCTTGCTGTCAGACTTGCCTGGTTGGACACACTAGGGAACATAGAGTACATGCGCGGTTGAAGTAAAAGTTTATGCTGGGATCGGTGTTTTAAATGACTGTCTGAAATCGCTAATAACATCTTTATGTGTATTATGGTTAGTTTGTGCAACATTAATCACTTTTCTTACCAGTGAATCTCAATATTTGATAGACACAGATGATGACTGTTGGGATTTGTTACATATGGAGATTTAATTAGTGGTTCTAAGATGCTTGTGGATGTAGCACTTTTACAATAATATTAGTATGACTAATACTGTGTAATAATGTGTTTGATCAGTTGAAGTCTTTGTTGTGGAGTCTGACAGCAGTGGGGAGGAAAGACCTGCGAAATCTCTCCGTCTCCGTCCCACACCGTGGGTGCCGCAGTCTCCCACTGAAGGAGCTGCTCAGTGCTGTCACAGTCTGCTGCATGGGGTGGGAGATGTTGTCCAACAGGGATGAAAGCTTAGCCACCATTCTCCTGTCACTCACCACCTTCACTGGGTCCAGAGGGCATCCTAGAACAGAGATGGCCCTCCGGATCACCCTGTTCAGTCTCTTCCTATCCCCAGCAGAGATGCTGCCACCCCAGCAGACCACACCATAAAAGATGGCTGAGGCCACCACAGAGTCATAGAAGGTCTTCAGGAGTGGGCCCTCCACTCCAAAAGACCTCCGCAGCAGGTACAGCCTGCTCTGACCTTTCCTGTAGAGGGCGTCTGAATTATGAGTCCAGTCCAGTTTGTTGTTCAGATGAACACCAAGGTACCTGTAGCTGTCCACAGCTTGTCCATACCTTGGATGTTCAGTGGTTGCAGTGGAGGATGTTTGTGCCTGCGGAAGTCTACCACCAGCTCCTTGGTTTTACTGGTGTTGATCTGTAGGTAGTTCAGCTGGCACCAGTCCACAAAGTCTTGAGTCAGTCCTCTGTACTCCTTGTCGTCCCCATCAGTGATGAGGCCGACTGGGTGGAGTTGTGGGAGAAGTCTGCAGTGTAGATGGTGAAGAGGAACAGAGCCAGAACCGTTCCCTGTGGGGCCCCCGTACTGCAGACGACCCTGTCCGACACACAGCCCTGAGTTCTCACATACTGTGGTCAGTCGGTGAGGTAGTCCAAAATTCAGGTAGTGAGGTGATGGTCCACTCCAGAGTTCTCCAACTTGTCCTTCAGGACCGTGGGAAGAATAGTGTTGAAGGCACTGGAGAAATCAAAGAACATGATTCTCACAGTGCTCCCAGCGGTCTCCAGGTGAGCGAGGGAACGATGTAGGAGGTGAATGACGGCAATAGCACTGAAACACAGTTGCTGAGCAGTCCACGTCATTAGACATCACTTTCAGTCACACATACTGCAGCGTTAACTATGGTGTGATATTACTGTGAAGTTTGCATGTTTAAGGTCTATAATATAACAGTAAATATAACATTAAGTCAAGAAAAATAACACTTTGTGGATAAAAATAAGGCAGAATCGCACAAGCGACATAAACCATATGGCCTCGCTATTCAATAATAGATATTTTAAAGATCATTTTGGGTACCTGTTGTGAGTATTTGTACATCAGTGTTCACAATTCTGGCGTTTTTGATTGGAAAAACATGAACTCTTGACATACTGTCATGTCCACGTGTTTCAAAAAAGCAAGTTTGAAGCTAAACACGCTTTGACTTGTGTCAGGTCTACAACTTTCAAAAGGCCACAAGCAGCTCCGGGTTTAATGCTGCACGAACAGAATAGCCTGCAGCATTCAAAAAGTCTACTGCAGCTGTTTAAGTAAATAACGGCGAAACATCAACAATGACGCAAAGAATTGTAAAAGTGTCGACAGTTAGAGATAATTTAGACAAGATTAACTTGAGAGGGGCTCAGCGTGCTGAAAAGCACAGGGAATGTCGAAGGGGGACTAGTTGTGGAAGAACAGAAAGGATTTTACAGTGACGCAACAATGTCTGTGCTGTGGTTACACTTTGCTCCTAATCTATAGTGTCATACTTTATCCTTTGCTGAACACTGATTAAGTATGCAGTTGGCTTGAAGTGAAGCAAATTGTTCTCTGCCAAAGTGGAACTGTAATGCCCTGCCAAACCAGCCTGGCCTCATTGCAAAAAAATAAAAATAAAAATTAAATGGTCACAAAAAATATCGATTTATTTGACTCTTTTTATGGACATCAGGGACAACTTTATAACTAACGTATATCAAGAGGAAGTATATTTTGTGTCTGTAGCACGTTGTCTACATTCTTCAGTGGCCATGCTTTATTATGGTAACAGAGACGATAAAGCTTTAAAGAAATGGCAACTCAAACCATATTTTTGTGTGAGCTTTTGTTGCTTAAATGTAACCATTTTAATGATAATTTGGGAATGGTGGAGTGATTCACTCCCCCACCCCACCACTCAAGCCTTCAAATTTGGATTTGTTTGGGAGTGGGGTTTCACTATTAGGACAAAAATCATTTTGGTGACCAAAAAAAAAAGAAATTTTATGTTAAAGAGCACTAATAAGTAGATTAGAAGTTGTACAAAATGATATCACGTTTGTAGAGATGTTATAATTGTCCAGAGGATCTTACCATGTTACTCCCCTGTCAGATAGGACGTAGAAAACATGGTAATGTCTGCGGAGATGAAATGTTCTTCCACCATCTGTTAGCATTTAAGCACACATGCTTATTGATATTAATTTAGACAGATATTTCCTTTACTGTCACATCTCCACATCTTAAAAGTGTGCGTGCGTGCGTGCGTGCATGCGTGCGCGTGTACATCTGCACGCTGTAAAATATACATTTTCAATTGTAATCACTGGTACATGTTGCCTGTGACCCTCTCTGTGTTGAACTAATGTCTTCTTCAGCAACGTAACAGACGGACGTTGCATCTGTTCTATCAAACATACTGATGCACATAAAGAAGGATGAGCAGTGTTAGTGGAATCGGGCTGTTTCTCTTTTTGCATGCAAGATAAGATAGAGCTTGTGGGGATAAATGTTTGATAGGAGCTCATCTCATATATTATCATCTAGTTTCATTCAAAATTTCCTACCTGGAATGCCTACTGTACATACAGGAAGTCATTGGTTACAGTTGGTCATGATTGTTAGCTGAGCTACTGGGATAACTGTCTGATGGAAGTGTCAGGTTGAGTAACCTCACAAAACAAGTGTCTAAGTCAGAAGATGAGTCAAGCGGGTTCTAAAGGCCATGTGATCAGCAACACATAGCACGACTGCCAAGACAGAAAACAAAAGGATAGGCATCAAAACAACCGGCACACAGAGCATTGATTCATTAGGATCATTAGTGTCTGCTCCAAAAAATCCACTGCTTTGTGTTTGGGTGTGCTTGTATCCATGCTTGCAGAGGCATGCAACCAGAGGATGAGGAGTTTTAATTGTGTAAT